AGTTAGAAACAACTTGACAGCACAAAACAATTGTAATAGATGCAACTGGACACAAATTCAGTTTGAACCTCAAGGTTAGAAGTTCAATCTCACCAGCAGCCCCTCAGAAACCCTATATAGCAGAGCTATGAGTTGTAACAAACTTGATGGCACTTAAGAACAACAACATGTTGTACATAGTTCTACTCTTAAACTTTAGTTTCACTTCATCAAATACTTGTGAACAAATGTATGTGGCATATTTGTAGAACTCAGACGTTTATGACTGTACACATGTACTTTAGGCTCTGGTAGTGTAGTGGTTACGAATTGGGCTGCAAATCTCAAGGTCAGCAGTTCGAAACTACCAGCTGTTCCGCGGGAAAAAGATGAGGTTTTCTGCTCCCGGAAAGATTTACAACTTCGGAAACCCTGTACAGGGTCGCTATGAGTCAGAACCGACTCCATGGCACTTAACAACAAACAAATGGTAGCCAATTCTCACCCAGACAACAGCTCCATGGAAAAGAAAGCTCCATGACAATCTGTGTCCATTAAGATTACATCCAAGTAATGTGATGGATAAATTCTCCATGATTCAAGGGCTGACTCTTAGACTACTAATTACAACCACAGAAAAAGCTGTATTTGTTTTAGCATCCAAATTTATGGAAAAGAAACATAATTATTATTCACTGGACAACTACAATGTACCTTGAAATAAAACTGTAAATGAGGCATGTTCCTCCCTTCATATAGATTATAGTTCAGAAAGAGGAAGAAAGTTAATAGTCAATTACAGTATGATTGGACTAGGATAGAGACAAGACCTGGTTGTTATTGGGAGGACTATAGAAAAAGGACTACTTCACTCAAACTTGCGGAATCTGACAAATAATTCCCAGAGGAAATGGGAATGTACTAATTAACTTACAAAAATAAGGTATTGCTATATCTAATTAAAAGAGCTTTGGTAGCGTAGTGGTTACAAATCAGGCTGCTAACCTCAAGGTCAGCAGTTTGAAATTACTAGCTGTTGCCTAGGAGAAAGATGAGGCTATCTGCTCCCATAAAGATTTTTTTTTTTAATGTTTTATTGTGAATTATGTGAAAGTTTACATGGGAGAACATTAGTTTTACATTCATCCTATCGTATATCGTTTCATTGCCATGG